GTAAAATGTCATAAAATGCCGCACAATGTGTTTCTTTTCAGATGTGCTAGCAGAACTCTTTGCAGTGCTGGTGAAGTTGTGCAGTGGGTCCCAAGCACAAGAGGAAAGCACACAAGACACAGAATAACATGCAGTTTCTCAGGGTGGTTGCATGACCAGTGTCCTGAAGTTGGAAAACACCTGAATTATTTCGAATAGTCGAACCTGCGCCCGTCCTGCTGGTTTTATTCAAGCCCACTGCTGTATCTTTGGCCATCAGGTCTGATCGTGCATTTGGTACAACTCATGTGTGTGGCATATGTCTTGGCAGCCACATTCTCAGGCACCTGGCACATGCAATATTTCTGCTTTGGGGCCTGAGGCTGTGGGCACCGGCAGTCACTGTACTGCAAGGGAAAGTATCACTCTGTGCCTGCGCACAGTCGCCAAGCTGTTCCGCACAAAAATCCAGGTGCCGTACCGGGCAGGAAGCCCCAGCTGTTACAATTTGGAACAGCGAATTGAGTAGCACAGCTGTGTGACAGCCACATACTCAGGCACCAGGCTTGTGTAGTGTGGATGCTGAATGGACTGGTGCTTTAGGTACATTGTACGGATTTGTGCTGCTATTGCATTGGAAGTTATGCCCACCACATCCGCACAAATTTCCTAAGCTGTAAGTCCAACATTCTCCAGGTGCTGTACCAAGGAAAAGCAACACCAGCCAAAAGCAAAGTGAATTAAGTTAAATGTGTTTCTCTGACAGTGGCAACTACTCTGTCACTGAGAGTCATCCGTTGCTTGCTGCCCCCCTGCAGGACTACTACAAGGCCATCCTCGTTGAGATGACAGATGGTCCCGTGTCTTTCAACATCACCGATGGCCACAGGGTGCCCCGTCGTGGGGCCGGTGGCGGGCCCTATTATGGGGGCGGTGGCGGTGGGGGGCCAGGGGCCCCAGTGGATGCACCCCCTGGCGAGTTCCCCTTGTCCAATGTGCTCAGGCTGCGGGGCCTGCCCTTCAGCGTGCAGCGCGAGGACATCGTCAATTGGTTCAACGATGGCACATTGAACATCGCTCAAATCCGTCCGGAGAGGTGGGGGAAGAAACCTTCCTCTGTTGATTTACTGATTTGGTTTCATGATCGATTGACAAGATGTGGCAATTGTGCTTGCTGAGTTGATCGATTGTTATTCTATTTGATGCAGCGGTGTGCTGTGTTGCTGTGCTTCAGGCACAACTGTCAGGACACCATTGCCATGTCACTTGCCATGAGTTTTTGCAAAGCCATGTGACTGGCTATCGAATTGTCTTCCTCTGCTGTTTTTCCATTCTTTCCCGTTCCTTGCCGCCTCATTGTCGCATGCACATCTTTCATGCTCTCCTTCCTTCGGCCTCATTTGCATTGCCACACTGCTGTGCTTTTGATGCCACTGTGTTGCACACCATCCTTTACCTTGCCCCCTTGCCCTGGTGTTCTTTCTTCTGCCACTTGCCCATGTTCTGTTCACAACTGTTGCTATTTTTCTGGCGTCTCCAGCGTGTTCATCGTCATGGACTATGGGCGCCCCAGTGGGACGGCCTATGTGGAATTCCAGACGCCCGAGGACGCCCAAGCCGCGATGTCCAAGGACCGCCAGATGATGGGCACTCGCTACATTGAGATCTTTGGCTCATCTCCAGAAGAGAGGGCAAGGTACATGAGCCTGAGCTGAAGCATCGGTAAAATGTCTTATATTCTGGTGATGGTATATGATACGTGGGGCCCAATATCCTGCATGTCGAACATGATATGGGTGGCGTATCCCACATATGCACATCTAGGACCTGGCCATATACATGATACGGATGCAGCTTTTTCTGACAAGCGATGCTGTGTGCCACCAACTGGGCCCAATGTTTGGGAACCAGGATTGTGATTGTGGCCACACCTGTCAGTCATGCCAGCAGTTCCCACTTCAGATTCTTTGTACATTTTGGAAAACACAACATTGCAGCCCATTGCAGTACATTCCAACGTATGGCAACCCAATTCAGTACATCACTGTATAATGGAGCCTGGTGCAGTATTTTATAGCACGTATCGTGTTTTGATTCTTATCTTGCCTGAATGTACGCTGCAGGTCAAGGGGTGATGGACCCAATGGCATGAGGCAGTACAGCGAGCAGGACATGGAACCAGATAGCCTAGAGCGGCCATTCTAAGTTCTAAGATGGTGGTAGGCAAATTTCAAAAAACACGCAAGAGGTCTGGTCATTAGCTTCAGCAGGAGGTCAGCCCCGGCAATGGTGGCAGCAAGTGGTATCTATTGGATTCTGGTGGCCTCTGGCATTCTTCTTTGGAAACTGCAGTGCATTGGGCGCAACGCATCGGTAACATGGGTAGCCAATCGTAGGTGACGTCACAGGATGTGACTGAATGGTGTATTTGTGCCCACCAACAATCCCAATGCAGACTGCACAAACATTCTCTCTGTTATGTGCTGTCAATGTGCTGGGCGAATGTGCTCACACCTGCATTGCCGAAGTATAGGAATGAGAGCATGTGCACCTGCAGGGCTGTGTCGTGTCTCGGAAGCTGACATGTCAATAGGGTAGGGTGCGGGAGCGGCCGGTGGCACAAGCAGTGTATCATTGATTCAGTCGCTTCTGCAAATGCAGTTACCTGGCTGAGAAAGCCGTGTGCCTTTGCCATTTGATGGCAAGAGTGCGCCCTTTGGGTAACATCTTCCAAGCGTCACACGAATTTCGATGCATGGATTAACTGGAACACATTGGCGGGCAGATATCTGCCATACGGCAAGTGACAGACTGCAGTGTTGTGCTGGAAGCCAGCTAACACATGCCAGGAGGTCCAGCGGCTGAGGACGGTCGGCATGTAAGGGCATTGATATCTCTTCAGCAGCAAAGAGAGTTTGGAACCTCTTTGGGACAAAAGGCGCTTGCTTGGCAAGGTGGGCACATTTGTCACACTCCAGAGAACTGGATGCATGCGGAGGTTGGCGTCTGCAATGACTGCTGCCAGGTTGTCGTTTGGATGTTTTTTTGGTGCTGTCTAGTGCAGTGTAAGTCCTTCATTGCACATTTGATGATGCTGAGTTCCACAGCGCGGACCTGTCTGTCGTTTTAGCTTTCAAAGCCAGTGCTCCTGACCGCGTTGCCATCACGTGCCTTTGGAACGGCGCCTTTTTAATCGAAGCCACAGGACGGTGTCTTTTTGCTTGGACTACCAACGTAGCTTCGGTAGTCAAATGCTGTTGTCAAATGCATCGGAACAGGTTGCTGTGGTAAGCTACCGTTTCGTTGTAGCGCGTTTGTGGCGCACTTGGCTGGCGCAGTGTCAATGCACCGATTGACATTCGTGTCCAGTTGCCCTGTGCGTTGCCAGATATCGAGGTGTTTCAGGCTTCGTTCTAGAAGATTCTGTTTCAAAGGAAGGAATGGCCATGCCCTGAGCGGTGCCTTTCGAGCTTTTCTGAGACCATTTCAGCGATTTGCAAGATGATGCAGACGACTGCATGTGACAAGAACAAAATGCAGCAAAGAATCTTCTTTGTGTTTTTTTGCACTTTTCGCTTCTTCCTCTCTTTTGCTTTGGCAGTGGGATCGCAAGGGTGGGTGGGGATCTTCTTTATCCTCCAGGGTGGCCCTGCATCCACGCTCATACAAACGGGGAGTTGATTTAACACGTTTGGTCAGCATAAATTGGTCAACCCAAAAATGTTCCTGTGGCAGTAACCAACATACCTTATGCCGCGTCTGATCGGTTGCAGATTCCCTTCCAGCTCCGCTGGTCACACTGCTCAATCAACGGTTGCACCAAACGATTTCTGCAGTCGCTGACCCCGAAGTGGTCTTAGTGAGAACCACGTGACCACATTCTTGGGCCAAACACAGCAGACAGGCACTCTAAGGCATTGGTAACCACCAAAGATGGAGTCTCACAAGAAGAGAGGTGGTGGACCCAGAAAGCATTTCCCAAAATGTGGCAACACGCCCAGAGTGGCGTCAAGCATCCGCCGTTTCGGCTGGCGATCGACCCCAATCTGGGCGTGCCAGCCCAAACTCGCACCGTGGGAGGGCTCCATGCAACTTTTGCCTTCAGCCCTGGCCATTTTGGCTCAAACTTGAGAGACGTGTTGGCATGGTGGTGCCACCACCGTGGTGGGCGCCTAGCACCCCCGCTTTACTGCCACTTCGGCTTGAACATCGTCCATTCGGCTGATTATCTGTCCCTATCTGACCACGGCAGGCCCATGAGACCAGTTGCATATAAATAGGAGGGCCTAACTACGGGCCGCCTGATGGCCACTTGTTGTTCCGTGTAGGCCGATCGGCTCATTCCTGTGTCATTTTGGCGTGTTGGTGTGCGCACATTATGTGCCACATAATGCCCCCGTTTGCTTGTGTCGTGGCTGTTGTTGCTCACGCTGCGGCTGCTTTTGCAAGCTGGGGCCAAGCGCCCCTCTCGTTGACGTTTCTGTCATTGTGGCTTCCGCACCAGCCTGTTTTGGCTGATGCTCAAGTGGTGGACCAGCGTGGGCAGATTGAGGATGGTGCCCAGGGCCGGCAGGCACGATCTTGAGTGTGAACTAGGCCATATGGCCCGAAGGTGGGGGGCGATGTTCGATCTCTGTCGCAAGAAAAGGAGCACACAACACTAGCACCGTGAAGAGCGAGGGGGGATGGGATCGTCTCAGCGTGGCGTCAGTTTGAAGATAAGCATGCCTGTTGTATCGATTTGATACACCAGCATTGACACAGTGTGTACCCTTAGAGAGAGGGCTTATATGTTCCCCCGAGAGGTTTGTAAAATCCACGAGGGTCATACTGGCTGAACTCTAGGCTACGTGGGCAGCATCGCAATACCACCAACGACTAGCGAGTTGTGATTGACAATCGCAACCCAGTGAAATGGGAAGTCTGGCATGTCAAAATCTGTCACTACTTCGCCAAGAACGGAAAAAGGAAAATGTCCTAACAAGGAGCCAACAAATGTTTTGGGCTATGTCGATAGACAGAGAAGCAAACTTGTGCCACGTGTTTGGCAATTCAGGACTTTAATATAATGTGTGTGGTGTAGCGCTAGGCCTTGCACCACAAGAAGCACGGATCAAGAAATTTTTGGCACTGGAAGGATATTGGTCACGCCAAATCTGGCACATGCGCGACCGAGCTAAACTCGACAGAATCAATGCATCCTAAATAGGTGACATTCAGCGCAGCACAGTCCAAGAGCAGGGCGCAGCCCCGTTTGGTGCACACAAAAGCAATAGGAGCAGACTCAAGATGCTACAAGACGAAGAGTAACTCTATGTATAGTCATACCCATCGTGCACCACCACCAGCAACCACCTCCAGTTGCTCGACATGAAATGTCCCGCCATCTCCAAATTACCCTGTCTGGAACCGTCCAACTTGATGTGCAAACATATCCCTCAACGTACAAGCCAGCAGCACCCAAGAGATACCCCAGTACTATGGACCCATGATGCGGCATTGGTTGCTTCATATTAGTCTGACCCCTTAATGTACAAACCAATGGCTCCCATCTCTACCGCCACAGTCAAGGCCGACACACCCTATCCGAATAATACAATCACCGTCATGCTGCGCCACGACACCTCCCAACGGATCCCTGAGTCGTGGCGCAACACCCCCAATCATTTGTCTGGATAAAATACGAAGAAAAATACCTCTGGCACACCAATCCTCCAGCACGAATGGGATCCCTTACCAGCACTCATCAAAGGGCATCCTCAGTCGTTTTATGGGCCCAACAGCTCAGCAATGGTTTTGGCAGCCTCTGGTCACCAAAATACCAGCAATCATGTGCACCTCATATGGGCATGTAACTCCTCCAGCAACGCGACATATGAATCGTCTGTCTTACCAACATGTGCATCCTTGAGGCTGCAGCATCCCAATAGCGATTCCTTGTAGTTAAGTCCAACATTGTAATAATAAACATCATAGCACCCTCCGCACGAGGCCTATGGTAGCAAGAGATTGTCCACCTATCAAAGACTTCAATAATGCTAAGACAACACAAGGGTACTCAAGAAACATGGCACAATTATGGCATTATGCCCCCAAAACAACTAACATGAAATGATATAAAAAATAATTTGGGCCTCTATAAAACGCATTGATTTCCAGATTTGAGGCAATGCAAGCATTGAGTCGGACAGACACCAACAAACTTTGTAGTCCTCTACAAATATTGGCAAAATTGATTGAAATTGACAAGAGAACTAAGACTCATTCAGATACTAGCACTCAAGAATAAAATGCGTGCTTTATTTCAAGAGGTTGGTCAGTTAATGTATAAGAGGTGTGGGTGTGACACGTAGAGTGTGTGCATGCAACCATATGAGGGGGTAAAGATCCAAGTCTAAAGTGGAAGTATATTCTAGGTCACTATTGGTACCTATGGAATCCGTTGACTCGTATCCTCGATATTGTAGCATGGTTGCATTGGTTGGCAAATGAGAAATTATGGTAAAGGTCTTGTGAGAAAGGCCGGTAGGTCCTAACTAGAACCAAAGTAGCCAATCTCTTCCTATCTAAGCATGTTCCAACTTCCCACAACGTTTGAAGGCTTCGTGAGCAAGTTATGTAAGCAAACAACAAATCCTAGTGATTGTTTTGCATTATTATTGGTAACTATGTAGTGGAGGTCAAGGTTACTACGCC